TTTGTTTTTTGCAAAGTATTATTTGATGAATCCACAGACGCCTATCGGGTGCACATTTTAAAAATATTTTTGTAATGTACAGAGTGTCCCAAAAGGCCTAAAAGTATCAAAGTTGTGTTTTTTTAAATGAAATACCCTATACATTATTGCATTTTTGGATTCTCTGAGCAAAATAAGTGTTTGTTTTAATAAGATTTATAATGTCTAAATCTAAAGGTTTTTTAAATAATACGAATTTTATCAAAATCTAATATTATTTTCATGTGTCAAATACTTTATAAGTATTTAAGTTATGTAAGGGTAATTTCTAGTGAAGTGTAACAAGATATAATATTTTACATCCCAATGATAATAAACTTACCAGTTTATACAGGGTGTCCACAAATTTAAACTAATCAAATAAGAACTTTAAGTGACTCTAACTTGACTAATTTAAATACAACCCCCTATTTTTTGGCTTACCAGGAAATGCAATTTTTAATTACCTATCGAATGGTACTAGGATGTTGATAACTAAGTTTTTGCCTTTTTACAAAATACACCAAATAATGGTTCTGTGCACCATTTGGTGTTTTTTTAAATTAAAAGGTTAAATAACATATCAACAATAACATAAAACAAAGGCAAATTATTTATAGCAAATGTTCGAAATGTTGACCGTCCATTTCCAGGCACTTGTAAATTCTTTTTTCAAAACCACTGCTAACTCTGGACAACATTTGCTGAGTTACAGTTTTAAAAGCGGCTCTTATGCGTGTTTCACATCGTGTGAAGTTGTCGGAAGCGTATGGTAGATAATTCCTTTTATGTACCCCCACAAAAAGACATCTACTTAAGTCCGGAGATCTGGAAACCCATTTCTGCCAATTAACCTGTTTTGAAAGCTGGCATTTAAAAATTGCCGAACTTCGCAGTGATAATGAGGCGGAGCTCCATCCAATTGCAGCCACATCACATGTTGGTTCTTATATTGAAATGGACTTCTTCTAATAATATTGAGAGCTGGTTTATTAGAAACTGGATAAACATCAAACCATTTAGATCATCCATTAGTCCTTCAAAAAAATAGGGTCCAATTAAATATTGGCCCAGTATTCCACCCCACACAATAACTGACCACCTATTTTGTTTTTTCATGACCCTGTATGCGCGCGGATTCGTATCAGAATAATAATGAAAGTTGTGTCTATTCACGAGACCATTGTTATGAAAGTACATTCATCACTAAATAACACATTTTCGAAAAACTTTTCATTTTCGGCCACTTTATCTAACACCCACATGCAAAACTCAGTTCGGTTTTCAAAATCATTTCCATAAAGTTCTTGGCAAAGCTGAATTTTACAAGGATAAAAGTTGTGCTTTTTGATAATTCTGGAAATATTTGATTGATTAATGTTAGTACTTTTGGATGTCAGATTTTGACTAACATTGGGATTTTCGATAACTGAACCAATTACCGTGAAAACATTTTCTTCATCTTCAGTGACAGATTTCCTTGTAATGGGTTTTTTATAATTG